AGATAACAATAAAAAATCATGCAAAAAATCAGTCATAAGTTGAACAACGAAAGAGTCAAAGTCGGGCGTATCTTGGTCTTTGACTGTAATCACGTAAAAGACATGCATTTATAATTTAAGACCAGCGATCAAAACCCAAGATAACAATGGACAACCAGAACTAAACCGTCAAAACGTTTATCTCGAAAAACGCATTACTAAATCGCTTTCTTCTTTCCCGATTCTTTAAATCAGATCAACCTGATATCAGAACAACTTTTTCGCATTTTCGCAGAACACTGATTTGAGGACTCTCTTTCCCCTTGCAACTGATCATTTGTTTCACAGCAGGTGGAGCTTAGGGCAGGAATTTCAAACCATTGAGATGCCATTTAAGCATGTCTCCTAGAGCAGAAAAGCATTTGAGGTGGACTTTTCTAATTTTAGTTTGGTTTGGGCACGGAAAGGAAATTTTCTTATAGGCATTCGAATAGACTAAACGGCATATTAGTCAGCTTTCTTAAACAAGACTCTTAATAGTTCCCTTTTTTGTTCTTTTTAGACGAGACGAAATTAAGCAAAATACTTTGTATTACCGAGGCTTGTTTGTGCTTGTTTTTGTTTACATTAAAACTCCTGACAGCTAGGAGCGAAAACTGATGAGATAGACAGCTCCGTCGTCTTTCACAAAGTAGGGGAGGGGAGGGGAAAGGAAATGCCTGCTACGAAGGACGTCGACATGAACTTCTCAGAAATGCCTTTCAGAGGGATGAAAGTAAACACCACACAACTCTGCCGCTTCATGTCACGATAAAAACAGGATTTAGCTGCCCTGGGATAAGAGTAACTGGATAAATTTGCGGGAGGTTAAACAACCCCTTTGAAGTGAGCGTATCATGAAATCTTTTAAGAGTACAAAATACCGCAATGACGAAAGCATTAAGCCACAGCAATCGAAACCAGCGTTATGGACACCCTCTTAATACTTCTTTATAAAGATCAGCGCTTTTGGCCACCATCAGTTTATTTCAAATTGACCCATCGCTGTGGCCATTATTAACTGCGTCACTGCGGTTCGCCTTTCATCCTATTTATCTAATCCAATGCTTTTTTGTTTTTCATAATTAGGGGAACATTCAAGTTCATCCTATTTTATTTCATTGTAACGTAATGCATTTGAAATGTGTATTAGTTGCATTTATCTTTAGACGATAATCGAGTATATTGGACACTGCAAAATCTCGTCCTCCTCTACATTTATAGTATCCAAAGGAAAACAACAGTTTCTGCCATATACTTTGTGTACGAAAAACGTATTATCGGTAGGTTTTCACAGCAACCCAATTAAAAGATCGACAGCTGAAGAGGAGGCGGCATCCATCAATTGTTCACAAAGTGAATCAGACAGGAATTTCCTGGCCTTGCTGAATCCTTAGAACGGAATTTTTGCGGAACAAAATTTTTAAACACGAAAACGAAGGCAGCCTCCAAAACGAATCTATCAGAAGAGAGACTGCTTCGGCTACAAGTGATTATTACCAAGTGTGTCACACCTCCACTGAAAACATTGAGCACGGTATATTATCGCAGAGAAAAACAAATCATCGAGACAAAAATAACAAAATACGATTAATTATTTCCGCCATGCAGCTAGTAATAGAACAGTGTGGTAGGAGACCGCAAAAGGAAGTGGTTTGAACATGCGAGATAGATCAGTTACTTACCAAATCAACGAGTTGACTGAACGCCATGTCAAAGGTAACGATGACTGGCTTAGAGCCGTTTGGTGCCGGCAGAATTTGCTTTTCCTCTTGGTAGTTCATCATGAGTCGATGGACGAGTCTCACTTTGGCATCCTGTTGTTTTTCCTGAGCTGAAGTAATTTCAAGTGTTAATGAGTTTATTTAAGGATTATCACGGTAGGAAGGAAAACAAAAGAACAAAGAGTACGTGAGGTAATTTTGGAAGAACAAACATTTCATTCGACTGTAAGAACAGCGAGAAGGTAAAATAAGGTTTTCATCAAAACCTAGTAAAGTATTCTCATCCAAATACAGTAGAGCTCATACTAAGCTCATAGTACTTTTCTAAGCTCATAATAAGGTGTGAACACTTCAAGTCTATTGTATTAAATGCGTTATTCTCTTTCAGTTAATCCGTCTTCTCTGAATAGTTTTTCAAACGATGACTATTGGATGTATCAATCAGTTAAAAAACCTAAAAATCTGACGTTTCTTAGACAAAATTGAAATTACACTGTAATGAAGTCTCAAGTTATATTACATATTCACAGCTTAAAATTGTTCTTATTGAGAAAGACAAGAGTACATGCTTCTTATCTCATATGGCGGGCAGATTTCCCTGCCGTGACCTTGTCTTTTCCCCAAAAATATATATTACCCACACAGTCGGTGCAATTCCAACAACGCACTAAACTCGACAAAAACTATTTAAACATTCTTGACTCCGCAGTTTAAGAGGGAGCACCATTTTGTCCCAATTACAAAGCACCGCAAAGGTGAGCGGCCATTTAACCGCGTAACATTATGCTGACTAAATAACATAGTTCACCATACCTAAGCAAACAGGATTCGACTTTAGTGGAGTTCCGAAGAAAAATACAATGAAGGCGAGGCGGCCGATCATTATGTCAGCAGAGACCGAAATGGACAAATTCACGTTGATTGAAAAACTTTTCTGTGGCTCGCTACTAGACTGGGCCGCTGCCGGGGGGTGCGACCCTAACAAAACAAGACAAAGCTAGAGAAAGCCAAGTTTCTGCTATTTTATCTATCGCGTGATCTTGTAATTGAATAAGAACCTGTAAAATGTTCTAAAGTGCACTTGGAGCCGAGTGGCGAGGCAACGTAATCCAAGACTTTTGCCAACATCTTGGCCGTGGTGATGACATCAGTCGATAATTAACAAGAAATGCTATCCATTATATTATATTTGGCGTAGTTTCGAGAATGACATACTTCATATGAACTGTCGTAAGGGCTGCGGAGACAAGGCCATCGGGATTAAACTGGACAAATGTTTTGGAAGTGGTGGGATTGGCCTAGTAAAAGAATAAGGTAAAGGTGCTAGCTACTTTAATTCTCTTTAGAATGTGTGCTGGCGGCTACTACAGCAAAGCACAAAAATCAACTCGAAAGGGACCTAGTGAACATGATTAGACTCAAATACAAAAAAACCCAAGTTAAGTTCAGTGTAGAAGTCCTTAATAAAGGCTAGTAGCGTCTAGTTAGTTCCTTGTGGAGTTGCTTGACTCAGGCATCATGGAGAAAGCTTGATCACAAACAAATAATGCCAGTGTGAAATTTGACCTAGGTTTCCGCATCCAAAGACAAGAAGAAAAAGCAATATTAGATTCAAGAATAGGCAAGGCTAAAGAAAGATTAACTGTGTCGCAGTGAAGAACATTTGGTTCTAGCGAAGACTATTTCTAGGTCATTTTTTGTTCTCTTTCTGTTCTAGTGTTCTTTTTTGAGTATACAAAAGTCGATTTACTTGAGGACCGATATTAAAGTTGGGGGAAATACGAGCGGTGTTATTTTAAGTAACACAAGGAATAGAGATTAGGCAATTACAATATTCTGTTCAATCCATCGACTTTTTTCACAAGTCAATTACAATTCATTACCCGCTAAATTTATTTGATTTCTGAACAGATAAATGTAGTAAGGGGAAAATCGCTCGCTTTCAAACACACGACTTTCTTTATAAGTGACGTCTGAAGTTCAACTTTCTTGAAGTTCATAGAGAGGAAGTTTGCTTCTGTACAAAGACTTACTTTAAACTTTGAAGAGTGTGCGAAGATAACGGGTTAAATAGCTATTTCGCGCCCTGCTGATCACGGAGTTCGTTCGATGTATGTTTTCAGTTAGACATATTAAAATCAACATTCTTAAGGTAGAGATTTAGGATTTTCCATGCTGCTGTGGAACGCTAACATAACGATGAATTGTTCCAATTAACGTAGCGGTAGTACGTTTTTCCTTTGTCGGCTTAAGGTGGTATGTTCTTTCTTGGTCTCAAAAATTCAAAGGGTTAAGGGTTCAATCAACCAATTCCGATTACGTATATCATTAATATTAAATTGCTTCCCTCTCCGGTTTATTGGACAGCCCGCTGTGTGTCATTCATGCTTAATTTCTTTATTAGCCGTACCATCTGTGCCTTTTAAAACGTAAAATATATGTCACAAAGTAGGAATGGTCGATATTATCTACCACTTATTTTTTTTTTGGTAGCCAAACTGTAATTATTCGATGTTCGGTGGTGAGCGGATAGCATAGGCATGTTACTACAATACCAAATATAAAATGCCAAAGTTCTCATAGATGGTGAGAGGCTAGCTGCTATACAAGCTAATACAGTGTTTATGGAAAATTAAGCCTTACGCATTGCGTTTTGATGTTGACCAGTGTTATAACAATACAAGCCGTTTTTTATATGGAGTAATTCCTTTTACGGAGACGAAACGTCCTCGCCCAAATTTCTACTGAATGCCTTGCCAAAATTAGATATTTTCGCGTTCCTTTTTCATCTTGATTATGTCCTGGGTTCAATTTTGCACTCCTTGTTAAATTAGTCCTAACATTTCATTGTTTTATTCTATCGTTCAAAACATGAAATTTTGAAATAAGAGTACTTTGTTTTCCATTGGAACAAGTGTTTTTTTTTATTTATTTATTTAATGACGCCACGTCAATGACATATGGTTATTTACCAAGCGTGAGGTCCAGACACAGCGTTATGGCCTCAACCTGCATCGAATTATCTTTTAAAAATAACATTCCCCAACAGAAAATCCCCATATCAGACGATTATAACCCTGCAGATGTAAGTTGCTTCGCAACAAGTCAAGCAAACCGAAGATCTGGGTAAAGTTTGAAAAAAAAACCAACTATTTTGAAAATTCCCGTTACGAAAGCACCCGCTAGAAGCCACACTTCTAGAACTCGACAAAAACACAAAACCAGCACGAGCTATTGATGTATTGAAAACAAAGAGAATTTACATTTTGATAAATAAACGAGTGATTTTCCTTTCTTTTAGTCGCGATATTTTCTAAAACAAATAGGAAACACTTTCTTCGTGTTTCTATCGAATTACGAGTGGAGCTTTGGCAGAACGAGATATACTGGGGGAACACATTCAGCGCAAGCTGCAGGGGAGTTTTTCCACAAGTTTTTC